CAGCATAAGAGTCAAGCAAATGCAATCTAAAGGATGAAAAAGTCCTGGGCCCATTGTGATGGCTTGAATATGTGTGTCCCAGGGAGTAGCACTATTAGGAGGCATGACCTTGTTGGAGTAGGTGTGGCCTTGTTGGAGGAAGTGTGTCATTGTGGGAGTGGGCTTTAAGACCCTCATCCTAGCTCCCTGGAAGCCAATCTTCTCCTGTTTGCCTTCAGAACAAGATGTTGAACTCTCAGCTCCTCCTGCACTGTGCCTGCCTGGATGCTGCCATGCTCCTGCTTTGATGATAATGGACTAAACCATTGAACCTGTAAACCAACCGCAATTAAGTGTTGTCCTTTATAAGAGTTGCCTTGGTCATGGTGTTTCTTCACAGTAGTAAAACTCAAACCAAGACACCCAAGATGAGGAGACCTTGGTTTAGGAAGCTGCCTTCTGGATTCAAAGCCTTTCAGAGAGGGTGGTGTCTAAGGCACTGGAGGACTTGTTTCTAGATTGAAAACCAGGAGTAGTTCTTTTGAGTGTACTACCTTTAGAGGGTGAAGCACAAGGTTATGTGGCTCAGCAATAGAACTTTAGCACCCACAAGGACCTGACTTGACCTCCTCACAGCATCATGAGATAAAAAAATAATTAAAATAAAAGTGAAATGATTATAGAACTCCTGTGAAGACCAAGCCTGCCGTGACCCGACTCAGAGGAACCTCTGAATGGTCATTTCTCCTCAAGGGGCAAAAGGGGACGTGTTTCTCAGTGCATAAGCATCACACTTCACGAGTACCCCCGAGGGCATACAGAGCCGAACCTTAGTGTTAACGAAGCGCATTTTGGATGCAAAGCCTGAAGACACCATCCAGGTAATGTCTTTGGCTTCTGCTTCATTCTGGGTGAAACATAGAGGCAAGGCGGGAGACGAGCTCGAGTTTCTATGTCCCTGGCCTCTCCATTCTTCTTCAGTCCTAGACTCTTGTCTATCTTCTGAGAGGCTCTGAAACCCATGGAGGGAAGCGCTCATGCCTCTTTTTAAAATCAATGGCCTTAGCCGGTGGTGGTGGAGCACGCCTTTGATCCCAGCACTTGGGAGGCAGAGGCAGGCGGATTTCTGAGTTGGAGGCCAGCCTGGTCTACAGAGTGAGTTCCAGGACAGCCAGGGCTGTACAAAGAAACCCTGTCTCGAAAAACCAAAAACAACAACAACAACAACAAAAAAATCAATGGCCTCTGCCTCCTATGAGCCCTCCTCCACTTCCCCAGGGAGGATCGCCCTCAATGGATCTGTGCTGAGGTGCAGGGACTAAGAAAGCTACACTAGGCTTGAGATTACTGCGGCTCCTTCCTTGGGTCCTCTATCTTAGTCTCACTGCATACGAGCGAATGTAGCGCAACACCTGAACCTGGAGTGGCTTCCTGATGCTTGCCTGCCCTGTGCATTCTCTCTCCCTGGGTCTTGCTCACGGGTGCCCCAGGAAGGGGGAGCATGCAGCAGATGGGCAGTGGGGTGGAAGTGGCTCCTGTGTTCCACCAGAGGACTGCTAATGTTCACCAGAGTTTGCTTTTCTTTTCCTTTTTTTTTTTCCTCCCTTGGTATTTTGAAACAGGGTTCTTCTGAGTTGCTCTGGGTGTCCTGTAACTCACTCTGAAGAGCAGGCTAGTTCTAACTCAGATCTGCCTGCCACTGCTTCCTCAGTGCTGGGATAAAAGGAGAGTTTCTTGGGTTTTGTTTCTCCAGCCAATGTAATCAGCCTGGGAGGCCTCACCTGGCCTATAACTTGCCAGTGATACTCTAGCCTCTGCCTCCAGAGGGATCCCTGAAACTTCTCTATTGGGACAAAGTTGGATGCTCAACTCGGCTGTTTTCTTCCAGGCCCACTGCCTGCCCATCACTTCTGTCTCTGCACTGTTATCTTCCCCCTTTGGCACAGTAGGCTCTGTCTGTTCATCTCTGTCATCATCTTTCATTCATTTCTCCACCTTCAACATGTCCGGAATTCTTTTTCTGTTTCTTGAGTCCTGAGCTCATGGTGCAAGGCCATCACAATGTGTTCTTAGCATTGGGGGATCTCAGGGAAGACCAGTAGGGGTATGGATGAAGAAAGGTTCCATGGGATACCTATAAAATGAACCTCTATATGACCAGCTATTACTTAGTCAAGGCCTGGCTATAAGCAGGAACAGAATGTTAGAAAATTCCAGAATCCATAGAAAAGTAAAGCCAAGACAAACTCCCCTTCAGAGGAACAATATTAGGAGGCTCATGGCTCTAAATGGGCATCCTTTTGGGGAGAAAAATCATGGCTGTAAGTAACCACAGTGACCCTGAAAGGACACAGACCCTTCAGTTTCTGACTATCCTAGATTTTCAGGGGGTGTCATCAGGCTCCAAACCATGTGACTATGTATGTACTCTGCTAAGTGCTTGACTATGCTTTCAAGTTGATGAGTATTCTGGGCCTTGGGTGGTTGTGGGCCATCTTTGCTACCCACTTTTGCTCTAGACCCACCGAGAGCCCAGTCAAACATCACCTACTAGAGAACAAAACTGATTGATCCCTGGCAATGTCCTGATCAAGACATCTGTCAAGTGTTACAAACTACGTGAATGAGCAAAGTACATGCTGTACAGATATTAAAAGGTCAAAACGAAACACCTCATTTTGATATAATTAAAAAAACATGAATTAACAGCCTGGTGTGGTGGTGCATGCCTTTAATCCCAGCACTTGGGAGGCAGAGAGAGGCAGAGCTCTGAGTTTGAGGCCAGCCTGGTCTACAGAGTGAGTTTTAAGATTGCCAGGGCTACACAGAGAAGTCCTGTCTTGAAAAATTGAGAAAGAAAGAAAGAAAGAAAGAAGGAAAGAAAGAAAGAAAGAAAGAAAGATCAGACTACTGTATGAAATAGGAAACCAGAAAAATAGTAGATGTGCCCTATCCATGAAAGAGCTGTCGTTCTCCCTCATCAACACACATGGATGGAAAAGACAAAGTCTATACCTAAATAGTTCCCCACACACTTGCACTCAGTTTCACTAGTTTCCTCTGCACCTGCCAGTTGTTTATAGCGTATATAGCATGGAATACACCTGTACCTGCCAGGTGTTTATGACATATATAACATAAAAGATAGCTTGTGAATCTTGTCACTTTCTGAGCCTTGTGAAGTTCCTTCGCTCCCAGAGGATTGCTGGCCTCACTCAGCTGTGGATCCTAAGATTATTGCTATACAATAGTTTTTGTTTTCTGCAGTGTCGTGGGGCAGAGATGTAGCTGAGTAGTAGAGTTCTCTAGCGGAACACCTCACAATTTTCCAGGCCTTAGTTACCAGGCAGCAGGAAGCTCAGTGGGAGACATTTCCAACAAACTTCCTCATCATAACAGGAGCTCTTCCAGAGAGATAGAAACCCAGAGGGATTTGGGTGTGTGGGTACATGAGGTCTAGGGTCAGGCTAAAATGCATCTGGTTTGGAATAATACTTGACCATCCTTGGATCTTTCTGGCCTGACAGTCCAGCCTGGGGGATGTGGCAGGTTCAGTGAGAGCATATCTGAAAACAGAGCAAAGGAGAAACAGGATTGAGAAAGATGCTGATGTTGAACTGCGCCCTTGACGTACACTCCCCCAGGAGTTGCACAACTATCCTCTCTGCCTCCTGCCCCAAAAAGAAGGGTTAAGATTAGACTGAGAATCGAGGCAATGAAGAATAAAACTTAGAATGTGATGATAGACCTCTCATGTATTCTGCTGCCTGAACTGAAACCTGTTCTGACTGGGTCCCTCCAGAGATAACAGAGGAGATGAAAATGCTGGAAGTCTTGGTTGTAGTTGCTTGGTTTGGGTCTGGTACAAAGAGTTTAAGGAACATACATTAAGCTACAGATAAAATGAGGGAGCAATAGTCATATAACCTCCATCTTCCTCTTAATCAAACTCAAACCAAGACACCTGGAGGTAAAACAGTGGCTCCCCTGCCCCCACGGAGCCTGTCAAACAGTGAGAGCATTTTAAGTCTTTGGAGGCTGACATGGGCTCACAAGTAAGGTGCAGTGATATATACCTGGGAAGCTAGGATTACAAAACAAAGGAAATCAGAAATTAACTGTGGTCCAGATGAAAGGGATCAGGGATGTTGTCTTCCTCACAGATCTTTGAAAAAGTGATGCCCACAGACAACCGCTGTGGCTAGCTCCAGCTCCCTGAGGGAATCTGAAAACTTGAGACAGGGTGTGTGTGTGTGTGTGCTTGTGAAGTAAAAGTAACTTCAGCTGGGATCATCTCCAGAAAATACCTCAAGCAAATGTATGGACCTGTGAGAAGCTGTTCCGAGTTTTCAGTGGGCAGGCAGACATGTTAGCACTGCTGACAGAAATAGAGTGGCCCTCGGGACAGGGGCGAGTCCTCTAGGACTCAGTGAGACATGCAAACCTTGACAAACATTATTAGGTTAAAAATTATTATTATTATTTTTTAAAAAACCTTAATCAGGAATTAATTCGACTTAAAGTCGAGCACACATGAATTAGAACTTTGAAATAAATAAAATTTGTTAAACTTGTTATGTGTGTTTCAAAAACGACTTCTGTCTTTTAGTTTAAAACATGAATTGGTGGTATAAAGGATTTCTAAAGATAACAATTCAGACCGCAGAAGAGACACATTCTACAGACTCTACTAGCCTACCCTGGGCCATATCTTTGAAAGTAACACGGAATTAAGTAGAGCACAGGAGTCGATTCAAGTTAAGTCACCACCAAATCAAATTCTTTGTGTCAGCAGTACCGTGGGCAGGGCCTAGAATGTGACAGTCTGAAGACCTGGCAAAGGACCCAGCCCACCCACTTGCGCTGTGCGCTCTGGCGGGTGGGGGTGGGGTGGGGCGGGGAAAGCTGCGGGGGGGGGTAGGGGGGCACAGAAGGGGCGGGGCCGGGCTGGGCAGCATTGAAAAGCGAGACAGGCTACCAAGCAGTGCACCTCCTAGTGCTTGCACTCTGAGGGTTCCAGTATGGGATCCCACACGGCTGATGATGCTCACACCAAGCCAGACCCTAAGTCTCAGAAGCTGCTCAGCGACCTGCCTATGTCCCTGCGACTTCGCACACGGCCCTGGTGGTTCCCAATTGAGGAACTCAGCAATCCTATGGTGTTCTACATGGAAGCCTCGGTGGCAGAAAGGATCATTGGTGAGCTTCTCACCACAGGGGTCTGGGTTAGCTCTCTGTATTCTTTTAGGGGCAGAAAGTCCATTCCCCATATCCCTCAGTTCAGTCTGCCCTTCAAAGCCTGCGCCTTCACATCTGAAGCCATTCTACTACTTAGAGTCTCTTCCTCACCTGTTTAGGCCGAGACCAAGCCGAAATGACAGAAATAGAGTGGATGACCCAGGCCTTAATAAGAGTGGACCCGGGCAACTCTGAGAACCTAGCTGAAATCACCATCTATGGACGACCCAGTGCACAGACTCGAATGAAAAATATTCTCATGCACATGTCGATCTGGCAAAAAGACTCGGAAGCCCGAAGAGGTAAGGGACTTTGAAGACCCACCTGGGGAGGAAGCCAGGGGAGAGTCTCAGCTTTTCACGATTTCTTGAAGTTTCCAAACACCAGGAAACTATATTGTCTTTAGGTATCCCTTTCCAACGCTCTTAAATGACAGAAAGAAAGGGAAAGAAAAACACACTCAAGTCCTATTAACCCCTTAGTCCAGCCGTAGACACCCGTCTGCCCAGATTCCAGGTCCAGAGCCCTTCTCTTTAAAACTGTGTTCCCCTTCTGCTTGACTATTGGTGTTGATCCTTTTCCAGCAAAGAAGATAAAACAAGTTGAAGAGTTCTTGAAAGCTCATGCCGACGCGATGATAAGCAACTCAAGTATCAAAGGGCAAACTGGGCTCAAGCCGCCTGGCAGCCCGCTTCCGCTGGAGTGAGAAGAAACATAGGTGGATTCTTAAATCACTACACTTGTTTTCTTACCTGCCTTCCTGAGCACCTTGTTTATTTTTCTTTGCAAATAGCAATTTGTAGAACTATTCCAATATAAAAAAAATTTTTTTTGGCATGCTGTTGGTTTCCTCACACACAGTAAAATTTATAAACATTGACTATTCAGTTGTTGTAGGGGGAGTGTGTAGGTTGTATTCCCACAGTTTCTAACACACTTCAGTCTGGCCCTCAAGAATGGCACAGTTGACTTATAAGTGTTTGGGATGGTGGTAATAGGTTTCCTGGGCTGAGCCCTAACTCCTGTCAAGCAAATTATTTTGCTTTAAGTTACTCAGTAGTTTGGGAAAAGGGCATCATTAAAATGTCAACTCTTGATCCCTTTGTCCTTCCTTATTGAGACAGGATATCTATGTAGCCCTGGCTATCCTGGAGCTTCCTATTTAGACAAGGCTGGCCTTGAACTCAGATCTACCTTCTTCTGCCTCCCAAGTTCTGTGATAAAGGTGTGTTCTACCATGTCTGGCTACCTTTTTGTACTTTTAAACCTACTTTAAGGCAATGGTCCCAACCCTGGGTCAGAATATCAGCCTGTATATCAGATATTTACATTACAATTCAGAACAGTGGCCAAGTTAGGAAGTAGCAAAGAAATTTATGATTGGAAATCAACACATGAAATATATTAAAGGGTCAAAGCATTAGAAAGGTTGGGAACCATTTGATTTAAGGTGTGCAAGAATTCACCTGGGAGTGGGCAGTGGGGGTGCAATGCCTTTAATCCCAGCATGGGATACAGGGGCAGGCGGATCTCTTGAATTCAAGGCCAGCAGGAATTACAGAGAATCCCTGTGTTAGGAAGGGGGCTGGAGAGGAGAATTCACTTTGGAAGTGCCTCAGAACAATGTCCTGGTCCCCTTCTCCAGTGATTCTCCCAGAGAGGATACATTTGCATCTCTAACATGCTCAGGATAACACTCCTTTGGGGAATCAATTACAGCTGCCCTTTAACTTGGTAGGCCCTCTCAGGTGTGTGTGGCTCAGGGACTTTCCCAATCATGAGGTATACCATCTTCGATGTTATACATCACAAAAAAACCCAGGTTATATACTTTTAGTGGGCTGACACCCCACCCTCAGCCCCCTCCCCGGAGCCCCTTGTTTTCTAGCATTTTCTTCCAAGATGCCACATTCTCTTGAGAGTGGTAAGACTCCGGAGGGACACAAACTTCCAGTGTCTAGGAAAGTGGAACCTTGGAAGGCTCCATGACCCCTTCCCTAGGGTTACAGAAGCAGTAAGCACCTGCTGAGGGTGGGGGTGGAAAGCTGGCCAGCTGAGCTGCCAGGAGCAGATCCTGGGACCTGTCAGGCCATGCCTAGAAGTTGAAGTATAAGCCCCAGGTTGCAGCTCTCCTGTCATGCGGGTTAGGCATCATCAATGCTCCTGTAAGTAAGCCAGTTAAAGTCATTGACTCACCAGGTGGGACTTTGGTCTCTTATGGGTTCCCTTTCTGGGGTGAATAGACTGTGTTCTATGTCACCCCACAAAACATCTTTCACACAACACACTGACTGATGTTCTCTGTGGATCGCGGTATTCGTTTGAGCATAGGTGTTCTTTGTGGTGCATGCTGTTTTCCTTTCCTGTGTGACCGACGGCCAGTGTGTAGCTCTATGCCTACCTGCTCTATCACTTTCTGGAAGTGAAATTCTTGGTTCGGAAGGTACATGAGTTATGGATGTGCCCACATCCCCTCAAGCTCTCTTGAGGCAAAGGCAGATCTCTGAGAGTTCAAGCCCAGCCTGGTCTATATAGCAAGTTCTAGGCTAGCCAGAGCTACACATAGTAAGATTTGGTCTCAAAAAGTAAAATATCAGAGCTGGAGAGATGGTTCAGTGGTTAAGAGCACTGACTGCTCTTCCAGAGGCCCTGAGTTCAATTCCCAGCAACCACACCTCATAACTATAAGGAGAGCTGATGCCCTCTTCTGGTGCCTGAAGATAGCTATAGTGTACTCATGATAAATAAATATCTAAAAATTTTTTTATAAATTAATAAGATATCAATGGGAGGAGAGCCCCTAGGTCCTGTGAAGGCTTGATGCTCCAGTGTAGGGGAATGCCAGGGCAGGAAGTCAGGAGTGGGTGGGTAGGTGAGGGAGCACCCTCATAGAACCAGGGGAGGTGGGATGAAATAGAACATTTCCAGATGGGAAACCAGGAAAGGGGATAACATTTGAAATGTAAATAAATAAAATATCAAAAAAAATTCTAAAGATAAAATATAGTGCATGAACTCTGTGGAGTTAGACAAAGTTGTCGTTAGTTGGTTAGTTGGTTGGCTGTGGGTTTTTTCTTTTCTGTTTTTTGTTTTGTTTTATCCTTTGACAAAAAATAAGGTGTTCTAATTCCTAATTCTTTACTCTTTACAGATGATTAATACACATGCACGCACGCACACACACATGCACACAGGTCTTTTTAATTGAACATCAGCTTGTTTTCAACTTTATTCATTTCTGTCCTGGCTTTACACTCTCAAGCTCATGCTACTTGGAATTGAGCTTGCTAAACATAAAGGTAGATTTAATTCATCTGTGCAGGTTTATGTAACAAACAGCAACCCATTGTTAGTAGTGTCTTCCTGCTCTTACCTCTCAAAGTTTGAGCCTATGTGCATTTCTATTGAATGTTGTTAAGCTATTACTATGCTTTCCTGTTCTCCTGGCCCCACCAGGAGCTCCTGTTTTCTCACAGAAATTTGTTATACTTTTTTTCTGGAGTGAATTTTACTAAAAAAGGTCAATACCTTATTAAGCAGATTAATTAGCATTATTAGCAAATTTATGCATAAAACTTAAAAATTTTTTAGTAACTCCTGGAAAAAGTTTTGTATTTCTACCAGAATTTGTATTTATTAGCTTATACTTAAGCCCTCAAACTGAGGACCACAGACTATGAGTAGTATATTTTCAGATAATTTTCTGTTTTATTTGTTTTAATGTGTATGGGTATTTTGCCTGGACCTATGTATGTCTGTGTACCACATGTGTTCTGGTGCCTGCAGAAGGCAGAAGAGAACATCAGATCCTTTGCAACTTGTGTAACAGGCAATTATTAGCTTCCATGTGGGTGTTGGGAATCAAAGTTGAGTTCTAGGAAGAGTAACCAGTGATCTTAATCACCAAGCCAAGGTTCCAGCACCCAAAATACTGCCTTTTGTTTTTTGTTTTTAAAGACACAGACCTGTCTGTTTGTTTGTTTTTTAAAAAGACTTATTTATTATATATATGTGAATAAATTGTCACTCTCTTCAGAGACATCAGAAGAGGGCATCAATTCCCAATACAGATGATTGTGAGCCACGACGTGGTTGCTGGAATTGAACTCAGGATCTCTAGAAGAACAGTCAGTGCTCTTAAACGCTGAGCCATCTCTCCAGCCCCAGAGCCTTTCAAAATGTGATAAAAGGGGCTGGAGTGGTGTGGCTCAGCAGATACAAGCACACTTATCAGTGGGGAAAAGTAATGCAATGAATATAAAATTAAGTCATATCACTACACCTATGAACATGTAGTACTCCTAAGAAAATAAAATGTGAACAAAGGCTTGATCACAGGGAAGACCATGTGATGATCTAAGTAGAACCAGACACCAAAACAGTGTCGGACAACTCCAGGTTTGGACTTGTAACTCTGTAATTACGGAGATTAATTTCTGTTGTTTAAGCTGTGTGGGTTGTTTTGTTGTGATAGTCCAAAGAAATGAACTCATTAGACATTTAATAGGTCTCTGCTGGGTTTCCTTACCATCCATTTGCGGATGTTTGCTTATGTGCACTTTATAACTTAACATAATTTGTGCATGAGAACATAAGTCTATGTCCTGTGCATGTGCACATGACACATATGCATGGAGACTTGTAGGAGAGTCCAGAGGTTAACATTGATATCTGCTTAAATATTTCTACTTTTTGGGTTTTGTTTGTTTTTATTTTTTTTAAAAACGTATTTATTATATATATGTGAGTACACTGTCACTCTCTTCAGAGACATCATAAAAGGGCATCAATTCCCATTACAAATGGTTGTGAGACACTATAAATTTTCTTGTTATTAGCAAATGAATACTACCTGAGAGGGTACCCGCATTAAATAAAGCAATTGTAATAAGCAGAATGCACTGAATGCATTATGAGTGACTTATTCATTATAGGCGACATACCTTGTAAGAAACATTATTTTGGTGTTTGGATATACACTCTTTTACTGCCTAAGTCATGTAAAGCTTAGATATTTTGAATTATTTAAAACTAACCCTTTTCTAGTTATTAGCAGAATGAATCCCACCTGGGCATTCATAGTTCACTTGATTAGAAGAGTGCCTCTTTTTCAGTATGTTTATTTCAGCTGAAATGCACTGTACAAGGTAAGGAAGAAGCTTTCTGTGAATATTCATGAAAACAAACAATGACAGAGTACCTGCATTAAAGAAAGCAATTATAATAAGTAAAACACACTGAATGTGTCATAGGTGACATTCCTTGTAAGAAATATTCTTTTGATGTAAGTGTATACCCTCTTTTTACTGCCTAAGTCATGTAAAGCTAAGATTTCTTGAGTTACTTAAAACTAACATTTTTCTAGTTATTAGCAGAATGAATCCCACCTGGGCACGTATGAGGCGCACTTGGTTAGAGGAGTGCCTCTATTTAAGTATGTTTATTTCAGCTGAAATGCACTGTACAAGGTAAGGAAGAAGCTTTCTGTGAAGAAACAAGAGAAGACAGACTGACAGTGTACCCAGATTAAAAGAAAGCAATTATAATAAGCAGAGGGCATGGAATGCATTATAGGTGACGTATGTGTTATAGGGAACATTACTCTTAAGAAACATTCTTTTGGTGTTCGTGTAACACTCTTATTACAGCTGAAATGCACTGTACTATGTAATGATGAAACTTTCTAGCAAGATACTTGAAAAGAAA